ACCCTCAACACTGAGGCTGGGAATGGCTTTGTCCACCTCTAGATCACGAATGACAGTGACAGCTTACTTGTGGTGTGTACTTATAGAGTGTCAACTTTTTTTTTTTTTTTTGGAGAGGTTTTTGCTATAGGGTACATGTGCTCACCAGAAAGACACAGGGAGACAGAGAGACAGAAAGCAAGAAATCACCCCCCCGGGGGGATGGCCACGCCACAATCCCTTCTCCTCCATTCTCCTCTCAGGATCCTGGGCATGCACGCACACGCGCCCAGCATGAGTTTAAGCCACTGGGTCCGGGACTTGAACCACGGTTGACTACATGGGAGTCCAGCGACATAGCCATTACGTCAACTGCTGGTCCCGTATAGTGTATCAACTCTTAACTACTTCAGAAAAGGTTATCTTATTTTAGCCTCATTCAACCCCTTAGGTAAGCAATTCACCTTTTTTTAAAAGAATTATTTTAACTTCATTTATTATTATTATTGTTATTATTATTTTCCAGTTTGATCAGAGAAAGAGAAGGAAAGTGAGAAGTCAGCCACCAGGTCTGGGACTTGAACCACGGTCGGCCACGTGAAATCCAGCGCCTTTAACCACCACGCCACTTGCCAGCCCCCACAATGCACCTTTTTAAGTGATGGATCAAAGCTTAGAGGAGGTGAGAGCCAAGACTGAATACTAAGTTGCCGAAATTCAAACACAGGCCGCACTGACAGCAAAGTCCCTGTTCTCCACTCCTCCCCACTACCTCACCTGGCAGAGGGGTCCTCTGTGATTTAGAACTTCCTCAAAACAACCTGATGGCATATCCAGACTAGATCCCTGAAGACAAGTGACAGCATAGTGTTAATGCAAGTGGATCCCATGGAAGAGGCCCAGAGTCTGCACCCCAGGACCTCCCCAAGCATGCTGGGCACACGCACACCTGCCTGTGATCTGGGCTGGCTGAGACCAGGGATCAATTATGACGTGGAGGCTCTGCTGGGGGTGACTCTCTCTCTGTGTCTCTCTCTAAAGAATAAACTGTTTTTTTTTTTAAAAAAAAAAAAAAAAAAAAAGAAGAGCAGGTCCCTGGGGCTGTCAAGGGACTGCTGGACATCCAGAGGGACAGGTACACCAGGAGCGGACACCCACCTTGAGCCCGATCTCTGGGGCTTTGCCCAGTTGTTGTCTGGAAGTCGTGCTAGGGCCTTGAGATTGGATATTGGGACAGAGGCTCCCTTTTCCTTGTGAGGTTGAAATCCACACCCAGGAAATACAGGTTTTTACTCCTTTTCTGACAAAGCCAGCTCTGCCCCATCCTAGAGTATCCATCTCCCCTCCCCCAACCCACTGTAGCTAAATTTAGACCCTCATCTGTCCTCTCCCTGCAGGACATGGGTATTTTAAGTACGCGGCTGTGTGGTACCACAGGAGAGGCGGTGGCACCGGCACGGTGGAGGTGGAGGAGCCAGCTCTTGTCTGTCAGATGCCCACCTGTCAGGGACTCAGCCTCCCCTCCTCACCTTTCCCCTTCCCCTCGCTCTTCCTTCTCCCAGAAGGCAGCAGAGGCTTCCCTGGGAGGTGAAGGCCACAGACCCAAACCCACAGTGCACGGCAGAACCTAATGGACTCGGCTCGCGCTCAGTTCGTGCTCACAGACACCCAGGACATACCCCAGGGTCTGAGAGATCCAACAGATTGGTACAGAACCGAGGAGCCCTGAGTTGAGAGAGGTCTGGAGGGTCTAGGGGTACACTTTGGGGAGCCCCCAATGAAGACCTAAAATCTGATGGGAACACGAGGTCTTCCACAGCCCTGAGAAACTGGGCACACTTGTCATCCTTGGCCTATGCCAACTGATCCTCTGGAGTGGGGCTGGTGGGAGGAAGTGGGGGCTTCGGAATTGTTGCTGATTGATGAGCAGCTCAAGGTGGATCTGGCCTCCCACGCAGGCTGTCGCACCTCTGTCACCACCCGCCCCCTCGGCACAGAGGCAAGTCTTCAGGTCTCCGGTCTGGTAACATGACCAAGGACACGCTCTGTTCTTGAACTGGTGGTAAGGCCTCTACCTCTCCAGCACCGCTTCTTCCCAAGGGCCCCACTTTTCACCATGCGCCTTTGGAGAAGTGAATGAATTTTCACTGCAGAGAAAGGACTTCAGAGAAAAGCAGCCTTCGGTTGCAGAAGGGAAGATCCGAGTGAAGCCAGCGGACTGGTGTTTGCTGTTTCTAATTAAATTGGGAATCACTGGATGGGAAATCCTGCCCAAGACTTGGCATCTCGAGGCTCTGCCAGCTTTTGTGAGGGAGGTTAGGGAACATCCTTCTGGGACATCTTGAGTGACAAAATCGACACCCTCTTGGACTCCTGCCTGCTGCCCTCTCCAGCACCTTCCTCACGTCTGATTCCTGTTTCCAGTGAATGTGTGTGTGTGTGTGTGTGTGTGTCAGAGATAGACTGAGAGAGGGAGGGTGCATCGGCACGCGAGAGCAGAAGTGCCACCTCTGCCCCACGTGGTGGCACAAGGCGTTCCAGGTCACCCCCACGCCGTGACAGCTCTGCTTTCCCAACTGTCACTAGCATAGGAAGACGCTGGGAACAAGGCCTGGGATCTGGGGCTCAGCCGTGGAGGGGGGAAGGAGCAGAGAGGAGAGGGCTCACCCGTAAGGAATAAAGATTGCTCGGTTCTGATTCTGGAGAGTTTTCAGGAAATAAGGAATGGCCGCATTTCAGGAGAAACCCACGCTCGGCCCCAGAGACAGGTGATCCAGGAAAGCCAAGGGTCGGGCGGAGGTGGGGCAGGTGCGGAGAGAAAGGCTCCGCGCTGCCCTTAGGCAGTCTGCAGGTGTGCAGGTGTGCAGGTGTGCGCACGTCCAGACGGGGACAGAGTTCACAGCGAGCTTGCGCCCTCCCCCTCCCACTCCCCAACCCCAAAGCTTGAACTGGAGGCAAATAAAGACCCCAGACCCCGAGTCTTGGCCACAGTGTGGGGGGCTCCAAGGGTAAACAGAAGTCATGGAACCCACGTGGCTCCAGCTCCTCTGCTGGAAAGCTGTGGTCTCTGAAACCAGGGTTAGCTGACAGGAAAATGACAAGGAGGAGAGGGAGTGGAACTTACTAAAATCCAGGACCACTAACTAGAGACTCTCTCTTAAGCCCCTTTGAGAGCCCAAGCTCTCAGTGTCCAGACTCCGGCCTTTGAGCCTTCACTCCGAACCACGGAGGGACTGGATGAACAGGTAGGGCTGCCTCCCATGCAGGATCGCCATAGACACCGACTCGCGCTTGGCGTCGAGGAGACCGCTGCAGGAGGGGCTGTGGCGGGCACTTACTTGGGTATCCTCTGTCCCCTGACCTCTCAGGCCAGTGGGTCACCAAGGCAGAGCTCTCTCCACCTACCAGTATGTCCTTTCTGAGAATGAGAGCCACCCACACCATCTCCCTCGTGGCTTACAGAGCCCCTGCGGTGTGCCAGGCCCCACGCGAGTCACCGAGACTCTGTGGTAAAGACAGACGTGTTCTGTGGCCTTGTGCTAAGCAAGGACGGAGGCATGAACAAGGGGCGCTGGATTCCAGGAGACTTCCTGGAAGAGGCCACATTTGAACTGGGTCTTCAGTGACAAGTAGAAGACTGCTAGGCACGCCAAGGAGGGAGGACACACGCGGCGGAGGGGCGGTGTCTGCAGACCCAGAGCAAGAAAGGGCAGGGTGAGATGAGACGAGCAGCTGGTGCCTGTGACCAGCACGCAGGGACCAAGGCCGGCTGAGCGGGCGGAGGGAAGGAGGCGGGGCCTAGCCCACTTGGGTAAAGGGCTTTGACCAGGCAGTGCCAGGCAGAGAGGGAAGGTTCTAAATAGGAGAACGGTGCAGGCAGCACTGCATTTTAGAGACCTCACGGGCCCCAGAGTGAAAGATGGCTGAAGTACAGCAAGACCCCGGGGAGGAGGGCAGGTGAGAGGCTCTTGCAACAACCCAGGTGAAAACCGAAGTGGGCGTGAATCCAGGTGGCAGCAGCAGGAGAGAGCACCGCGCATGAGAGATTGCGGGGCAGGAAAGGCAGTTTGCTTGCCATCTGAACATGGGGTGAGGGAGAGGGAGAAATCGAGACCGACTGCCAGGTGCGGGGCTCGGGTGACGGGTGAACGGCTCTAGGGCTGGGGAACAGAGAGTGGAGCAGAGTTCGGGGGGAGGCCGAGTTTGAGGCACAGGCCGTCCGGGTGGAGAGACAGCACACTTAGGAAGGAGGTCTGGGTAGGAGATCTGAACACGTGGCCAAGGATGGACGCCCCCGCTGGGAACAAGAATGGGCCCCGGGTGGAGCGTCCACCTCCATCCCAGCTGTGTTCCAGAGAACTAGGGGGCCCTGTGGCACCTTCACCCCTCGCTCTGCAGAAAGGAACCAAGACTCGGATCTCCGGTGTTTTCAGGGGCAGGCTCCTCAGGGAGGATGCTCCTAGCGACAGCTGACTTCTGAAATAACTCTGTCTGGTTACTGCCCTTTACAACCTGGGGCTTCCATAAGACCTGGGACAGACAGCCAGCGGCCCAAAAGGCTGAAGAAGAGCCAGAATCTGCCACAGGGCCAGCGTGGAGAGGACTAATACCACCCGCCAGCCATGGCAGGGGAGCCCTGTGGACATGGGCAATGCAGGGCTCGGGTCTGCAAGGGTAGGTCCGTCTTGGAGCAGGCTCCAGTGCCTTGGTCACCAGTAGCAGAGTTGGGGGCTCCCCCCCCACAGAGAGCCATTGAGGAGTGTCCCGGGGATGGGGACGGACTGACAGCCCCTCCACCAGGCACTGAGCACCTGCCCAGGCATCGGTGGCATTTCCTGGATTGTCTGTGCTTTTCCAAGGGGTGCCATCCATCCCCAACTCACTCATTGGGTACCCTGACTGGGAGCTACCCGGTCCAGGGTACCCAATGCCACCAGCCCTTCTCCCCTCACTCAGCCCTGTTCAGAGACCCAAACAACCCCAACTCCCAGACACCACCCAGGATGAGGCAGGCAGGAGGGTGCTTTTTCTGGTTGTTTTATTTGAAAACCCGAGGATGAGTCCCCTCCCTCACACGCCCACCCCTCCCGCTACCCCAGGACAGGACGATGCCGCACGCACGCACAGGCTGTGAGCTGCACACGGGAACACGGCTGCGCTCACGACAACATTGAAAAAATATACATTATATATAATACACGGGGCCCCCGGGCCCTCTCCCAGACCCACGACCTAGTCACCACTAGGGCATGGAGGAAGGGGCCGAGCCCAGGACTGCAAGGGCAGGAGGGAAAGGGAGCCCAGGGGACCGAACTGGTAAAGGGGAGAAGCAGGGGTCCCCAGAGTGAAATGGAAATCGAGGTGAGAGGTCTAAGAGACGCAGGGAAGGCCAAGCTGAGGGAGCCCAAAGGAGCAAGGCCTCCCGTGGACGGGAGAGAGTAGGACGGGTGGACGGAAGGTCTCCTTCCATCACACCCTGGCCCAGCCATGGCTGGTAACGGCCCTCCCCGATGTGGTGCGTGGCTGGTGAGGGCAGACAGAGACATGGGGAGCAGACCAGGAAGCTCCCAAGGGCAGGATAGGCAGCCAGGGTCGGCCAGCCACCTTGCCAGGGCAGGGCCACCACCAGGAGAACACCAGGGGGACCAGCCGGGGTGGGGGGTATGGAGGAGGCAGGGCAGATTCCAGGGGCCCCTGGGATGACAGTTCTGCAGAGCACGCTCCCTCACACCTCTTCTCTCTCAGAATGTCCTTCTCCCTTTTCTTGGGGTGTCTCTGTCTCACCAGAGCAGAATCCCCTCTCGGCTGGGAGAGGCGTGGGCTTTAGTAGCGGTGTGGGGGGGTCTCGATGATGCGTCTCTCATCGCTGCTGGGGGAATCAGCTGCCTCCGAGGCGCTGCTGTCCTCGTCCTCCTG